GATTAATCTGGAATGAACCTGATATCCATTAATGCTGATGAAACTGCAAAAGAGAATAATTGTTAATGGACAATAACCATGTTAATGCCTAATGGCTATATATCATTTATAATGGCCACTTAGCTTTTAGTCAATTTAGTGATTATATAAATTGACTGAATCACATAAATGTGTGTGTGTGGGGGGGTGTGTGATTCAGTCAATTTAAGGGTTACAACTAATAATGTCAATATTGATTGATCAGTCCTTTATTTCTATGATTATTTGATTCATTGTTTGATCTTTAAAATGGTAACAATGATGACGTCTTCTAATTATTTATTTTTGTTCAACCAACAGTCCACAAGATATTCAATTTGCATTGATGACAAACAGACAGAAAAGCAGAAGATTGAACAGTTGATGATTTTTACCTCAAACTATGACTTCATTACTAGTAGAGTACACTTAATTCAATGCACATCAGAGCTTTGGCTTAATTTTTTTTAAAACAAACTGTCATTTGACCAGAGTGTGATCAGTTATGATAAAGTGAAGTTACAGAGTAAAGCTTTTTAGCAGTTCAGACGCTGTGATGCTCAGGAGCACCAAGCTGATCTCTCTCTCCCTGTACAGGGCAGGGACTGACGGGCATTGGCATGTGAAGCCAGGGAAAAACCATCTGAGGCAATGTACTTTTTTTTTTTTGGCCTGGCTGTGAAGTCCATAGTTATCAGCTGCTGCAGCAGCAGCACCACCACCACCACAGCTCCCAGCTGGCTGAGTGTGGGTGGAGGGCTGGGCTACTCTCATCCCCAAATCTGTGAGTCATCCCATCCCTGAATCATTAATCTGTCTGACTCTTAAATTCTCACTGCCTGAGAGGAGTGTGCTAATGATAAAGACAGTCTGTCACTTGGTTTAGCACACATGCACACACAGAAAAGCAGACCCCCCCCCCATACACACACACACACACACACACTCCGATGATAGGCTTGTTGTCTCGACCTGTGAAGCCTGCTGCTTCTACTCTGGGCCCAATTTTCACCTCAACACCTAGGTTTGGGCACCACACCGTCAAGATGGACGGAGCTGAGTTCAGCTGCAGGAATTTACTTCTGCTCTTTTTTTCCTCATCATTTCATCCATGTTTCATCCCTCAAACTCTCCATCTGTTGTTGAGAAAAAGGAAGAAAGGAAAGATTTGGGCCATGCTTAGGTTTTGCATGTGCATTGAGCTGTCTGTCCAAGCCATGCTCTGGGTTGTTAAAATGAAAAGGAGGAGGGAAGTGAGGAAAAGAGACAGACACTCTGGTATCAGACTGCAGGGGGTGAAGGAATAATGGCATAGGAGGGCTCTTTGTGATGTGCCTCAGTAGGATCCACTCCTGCTTTCCCTCCTCTCCTCCTCCTGGCTTTTTCTTCCCACAATAGAAACTGGGTGCAATACACACACAGACTCATCGCATTGGTGCTAATTGTTCAGATTTTTTATGTGTCAGTTTTCACTAATCAGCAAACACAAAGTTGGCTCACAGATGAGCACAGCTTTCTTTTTTTATGCTAGCCTTTAGGTGTAAAATGGTGTTAGGGAAGTAATGTAATTTGCATTGTTACAGTGACAACGTGTGCCCTCTTTGTGAAAATACAGCTGTGGCAAATCATTTACTTTCATCAGACTGTTTCTGTTGATTTACCTTTAAAAGAGCAAATAAAATAACTGCTCATTCCAAAGGCATAGAAACAGAGTTATAATAAAAATAAGCATTTGGGACCTGCAGCCCTGAGGAATTTCATCACAGCTCATCATTATTCTGCTCACAGCACCCAGCAGCTGGCAAATTCAGTGTTTTCCTTTTGATAATGTGGAAAATCATTAAGTATTCATGAATCCAGTCTATATGGACACATTCATGTTGTGTGTGCTTTTTTATGTTTGCTTGTGATGCATTGTTTTAAATTATGTAAATTGGTGAGGACGGTTGTGTAATATCTGAGTGATTATACACGCTGCTTTTGTTGCCTGCAGCTATAAGAGGGATTCACATAGAGCCTAAAGTAAACATGTTAATCCCCCTCTGTGTTTCATCTTATCTAAGATTTGGATCACCTCTGATTGCTGCCAAATTTAAATAGTCATTAGGAGGGATGCTGGCATGTGTGAATGTATATGTTTTTGTGTGATGGATGTATATCTGTGGTCCCCAGCTCTGTTGCAGAGCAGAGGAATGTCCCCAACATTAGGTGGGTGGGCAGTGTGCAGTGTAAAATGATTGACTGGCAGTTAAGGCGCGCCTGTATTGAGTGGTGGGAGGAATGCCTGATGTAGATGGTGGATTCCAAGGCTGTTGCTGTGGTAACAGAGGGACTGGAGGTGTTGTGCGCCGAGCAGAGGATTTTTGGGGTGGGTGCCTTACTTGTGAGCATGAGTGGGAGCATCTGCCTGGCCTGAGCCCCACCGCTCCTCTTGCATAATCTACTGCAATGAAAGCTCAATGTGGATTTAGTGCTTGATTGTCATCTTCCCTCTGA